CACAGGTAAGGCTCCCTTCTGCTGGGTCCCCAGGTGGCTGGGCAGGGGCGGAGGGCTGGAGAGGGAGGGAGGACTCTGGGATTGGGTTGGGACCCCTCTGGGGCAGACAGTGAGACTGTACCTCACAGAGTTCAGAGGGAAGCTCTGGGAGGGAATTGGGCTCCTCCATTCATTTATGCAACAAATATTAATGAAGACCTACTAGTTGTGTGACCTGAGCCTCAGTTTCCTTATCTGTAAAATGCGGATGACAGTGCTACCTCCTTTGAGTCATAATCCAGGCTCTGGTCTGACCACTGGATGTAGTCTGGAAGAGAAGATAGAACTTTAACTTTAAATAGAGCAGCTCAACTGTTAAACAAGGAAGGCTTCCCAGAGGAGGTGACATTTGAACTGAGACTTCAAAGGATCATTAGATACTAGCAACTGATGCTTTGAAAAGGAATAAAATACTTTTTGAGGGATGGACAATGGAGGGAGGGCAATTCAGTCCACAGCTCATCACCATCCTCTCTACTCATTACCCTTCCTTCCTCCCTTCCTCCCTCCCTCCCTTCCTTCCTCCCTTCCTCCCTTCCTCCCTCCCTCCCTTCCTTCCTTCCTTCCTTCCTTCCTCCCTTCCCCCTTTCCTCCCTTCTTTCCTTCCTTCCTTCCTTCTTTCCTTCCTTCCTTCTTTTATTCAGGCCATCAACAAACATTTATTGAGCACCTACTATGTTCCAGGCAAATAAAATTGAACTGATGGCCCCACAATATTGTACCATCTTGGTTTGCTGCCCTCAGCCCTTTTTGTGTCTTTTCTTGAGCTGTCCTCTGCCTTCTCTGAATGTGATGGTGTCAAGGGAGGGGATGGCTAGAGGAAGGAGCTGCAAACCCAGAGGGGTGTGTATCCATGTGCCCTACTCCAGATCCAAACCAGGGTCATGAAATTCATGGGCTCTGATCCTAAGTGTGTGACTTTGGGCAAAAGCACCCCTTCAGTGAAAAGGGAACAAGAACAGTACTGTCCTGCTCTGAGAGTCTTAAGTAACACGATAGATGTAAAGTGCTTGGCATGGTGTTTGGTCAGTGTGGGGCACACAGTAGGCACTCAGTAAGTGGGGGTAGCCTGACGCCTGCCTAAAGCAGCCATGCTGGTCCAGTCTCCACAGGGAAAAGGTACAAAGGTGAGAGCCAGACCCCAGCTGAAGCTGGACCCAAGCCAGGACTGATGCCCCCACCTTCCGTGTCTCTCTCTCCAGCCTGGACATCCGTAGCTGTGAGTTGCGGAGCTCTGCTTTGACACCCCTCTCTGGCCAGGGCCTGAGTTTGTCCATCTCTGACTCCTTCATCCAGCTCCAGGGCAAGTGGAAGGTGCGCAAGTCATTCGTGTAAGTTTGCTCAGCTCCCGGGTTCTTGGGTCCTTGGCCTTGGCCCCATTCTTCTTAGGTCCAATGAGATCCTAGTCGTGGTGGATGGAGGGAGCCCAGAGATCACCCGGGTTCCAAGTCCTGGCTCTTGGACCAGTCTCTTCTAGTCTTCTAGCTGCCCTGATGAGGCTGTGGGTGAACTAAATGAGATAATATTGTGTCTTCTTGATTTGCTTCCCCCAGCAGCAGACCCCAAGGTGAGCATTCTAGTGCAAGTACTTTATCTGGGAAGTGATCTAAGGAAACACCCATAAGGGTGTGGGGAAGTGAGGCAGGAAGAAAGGAATACGCCCCTGAGAACCTCTGGAGACAGTGTGGATGGAGCACACCTCTGAGTTACCCAAATACAGATGTGTGAGCCCATCTGCCTATTTGCCATGGGTCAAGGGTGGCTCCCCAGCCCTTTGAATTGTCTTCTGCCCTCCAAGGTCCTTGGATGGAAGGTGGATGTGTCTGCAAGGGCTGCCATAACAAAATATCACAGACACATGATTTAAACAACAGAAACTTATGTTTCTCACACTTCTGGAGGCATGGGTCCAAGATTAAGGGGTCAGCAGGTCTGGTTTCCTCTTGAGTCCTCTCTCCTTGGCTTGCAGATGACCCCCCTCACTGTGTCCTCACACGGTCATCCCTCTGTGTGCATGCACCCTGGGTGTCTCTCTGTGTGTCCTAACTCCTCTTCTCAGAAGGGCACTGGTCAGATTAGATTAGGGACCACTCTAGCAGCCTCCTTTTAACTTAATCACCTCTTTAAAGGCTGTCTCAAATATGGTCACATTCTGAGGTACTGGGGTTTAGGCTTTAAACATAGGGGTTTGGTGGGGGGATACAATTCAGCCCATTACAGGAGAGGTGACAGTCTCTTCGGGGTAACCTGACCATATTTCCACTTTAGACCTTTACTGTCCCATATAGAAGCTTCTAGCCATGTCTTCACTGAGTACTTGAAAAGTGGCTGGAACAAATTGAGATCTGCTTGCTGTAAGGGCGCAGCCACAGATTTGAAGATTTAACGAGTAAAAGAACATAAGGAATCTTATTAATAATTACTATGTTGATTACATGTTGAAATGATAATATATACCATTAAAATTAATTTAACCTCTTTCTCTTTGCCTTTTTAAATGTGGTTCCTAGAACATTTTAAATTATTTCTGTTTGCCCATACCTTCACAAGCGTCTAAGAATCAGTCATTGCTTCTCTCATCTTCTCCAGGAAACTGCAGGGCTCCTTTGACGTGCAGGTCAAGGACATCACCATTTCGGTCAACCTCGTCTTGGGCAGTGAGCCCTCAGGGAGGCCCACGGTTATGGCCTTCAACTGCAGCAGCAATATCCGTGATGTAGAGGTGGACATTTCAGGACGTTTGGGGTAGGTCACCACTGGGACAGTAGCCAGCTTGACCCCTGGTTGCAGCCTGAGGCCCAGCCAGCCAGAGGCCTGGTCTCTGATAAGCATAATGGTCCAGACAGAACGCAAGAGCACTTGGAGGTCATTCTTTGAAGGCCATTGCTGAGAATAATAGACACAGATTCAAGCCAGGAGTATGGGTGTGCCACTTCCACCAAAAAAAGAACTTCAGGGAACCAACATCAGGCAAAAGAAATTTGGCTACTAGAGGAACACAAGGGCTTTTGGCCAAAGGAGAGTTTGTGAAAAATATACAAGCCTTTAGGCAGGTCTCTTTAGGTAAAGTTTCCTTGATTGGTAAATGTTGATTCTCAAGCCCCTCCCCTAAATCTACTGCATTTGCCTGGGGTGCAGCAGGGGACTAGGATGCCAGATGCCCTGAATTCAGTAAGCGTGCTGCGAGCTGGGACTCTAGGACATAGCAGAGTACCAGGATGAGGTGGGGAGGGCTCCCTTGGGTTTAGCTGGAAGCCAGGGCCCGGCTTTCTCGGCTGCCCCGCCATCACTGCATTCAGCGGCACACAGCTGACCACCCACTATGTTCTTTTCTCCAGGTGGCTGCTGAATCTCTTTCACAACAAGATCGAGTCGAATTTCCAAAAAATATTGGAGACCGAGGTAAGAACGTTGGATCTGCTGGCATCCTCCGAGCCACTCAAGGGCTGGGCGCAAGTCCTTACTGACCTATGGCCGTGGACAGCCCTAGGGGTTGGCCCAAGCATACTTGGGCCCAAGGCCCAGAAAGTATAGATAAATCATTTGCTGAAGGTCACAGAGCTGGTGTGTGGCAAAGCTGGGGGCAAAAAGTAGGTCTCTGGACCCTGAGTCTGTCCAGTGAGAGTGAGAAGGGTTTGATGCTCAGCCAAGGGTAAAACATCAGGATGAAACAGAAACTCCTGCCCCTCCCTCTACTTAGCCTTGGTCACTGCCCCCCACTGCCCTGCTTTTCACAAAAGCCAAAGAGGAAATCATCTCTTAGGTGCCTGCAGAGACCAAGTAGGAAACTTCAGGAGTGCATGAACCAGGTAGAGCCCCTGGTTCCTACCATGAGCACCTATTCTGGATGGGGAGGTGGCAATTAAAGGGCAGGTTTTTCCAATTAAAAAAAAAAATACGTGAAATCTCCAAATGTTGGAATCTGGCTAAATACAAAGAGGTTTCATGTGAACCTTCAGTTCTCCCAAACACTCACTTTGCCCCAAAGTCCCATTTCCCAGGTGTCATATCCCTGGAGCTCTGTCTGTAGCAGTGACTGTGCTTGGGAAGGGAGAAAGTGATAAAGGGGGGAAAGGAAAAATACACACACGCACAGAGACATCCCCCCCTCCCCCAACGTCCGGTCTGGCTTTGAGTGCCCCTGGTGGTTGAATTAGGGATAGCAGGCAGACCCCACAGATTGGGTATGGCTAGCTGTATTCTGTTCCTTTCCTTGTTCTGAGGTCCTGGGCGTCTAGGTGAGCTTGGGAAACATGCCAGCCTCATTCTTGAGCACCCTCTTGCCATGTTGTGATGTATCAGGGGAAACAGCAAATGTGGGTCTATCCGGCCAAACTGTTAAGTGATGGCATTTAAGAAGAGTCTACATTAATTATACACTTAATTTGTGTGGCTATTTCTACTTGCTGTCTAGTTCCGCTATTCAACTGTAAATTCTGGGAGGCCAGGATCTCCCAAAGGAAAACGTCTTTAAAGATGGGGCTTTTCAGGCAGTGCCTCCAGCCGATGTCCCCTCATCAGGCTCTGTAGGTGACTACGTAGCTCAGATGTCCGGCCCTGGGATCATCTTTGGAAGGCCCAATTAGGCCCTGCTAGAGTCCACATGGGGGCCTACATAGTTTTGATTATTTCTGTTTCTTCAGGACCTGGTACATGATAAGTACATACACATCTCTGTAGAATCAACGGATCAGTGAGCAAAAGTGTGAAATAATGTGATAGAAGCAATTAACTCAGTGTTAGATCAAAGCCAGGGAACTCACTCAAGCTTTCTCTTCCCTTTTTTTTCAGATTTGCAAAATGGTCCAGAAATCAGTGACCTCTGACCTACAGCCTTATCTCCAAACTCTGCCAGGTAGGGTGCCTCACCCATCCTGGAACAGTTTATCTCTATTAATTTTTATAAGCACAAATATGTACTTTATAAAACCTTAAATGGGACAGAAGTATAGAAAGTAAAAATTAAAAGCCCCTTTTTCTCCCCAAATTTTCTTCCAAGAAGTAACCTCTGTTTGGGGCAGATTCTCTCAGATATTTTCTTTGCATATACAAATATAAATATACATATACATAAGTATATGAATATACATTCATATATGTATGCCTGTGTTCATGAATATATGTGTATATGCATAATTTGAATATATATTCATTTATATGTAGTATAGATATTGCCCTTTTATAACTTGTGTATGTTGGAGATCTTTCTATATCAGCACATAAGAATCTATCTTATTTTTAATAACTTTTTTGTGGAAATTAGTTACATAGAGAAAAGCATTCAAATCATAAGTGAACAGCTTACAGAATTTTCACGAACTGAGTACACAGATACCAGCAGCTACCAGATCGATATGCAGAATATGATAGCCTTTCAGAGTCCCCTCATGTGTCTTCCTGTCATTACCCACCACTCAAGGGTAACCACCATCCCAAATTCTACCAGCAAAGATTAATTTTGTGCTTTGTACATGAGTGGAACCTTGCAGTATTTAGAGTCTTTTATCAAAAATGGAAGGCTTTCTTTGTTCAACTTTAAAATGATTTCGATCCATATTGTTGCATATGGTGAGTTCATTCATTCTCTTTGCTGTGTCGTGTTTCACTGTGATGATGTTCCTCTATTTACTTCCATCCTACTGTTGAAGGCCATTTGGGTTGTTTCAGTTTCAGACCATTATGGGTAGGGCTGCACTAGAATGAATATTCTAGTACAACATGGAGACGCATGTCTTTGGGTTATACCTAGGAGTGAAATTTTAGGCTCATGTGGTATGCATAGGTTCAGCATTATCAGATCCTGACAGTTTTTCAAAGGGGTAGTAACAGACCTCATTTTAATATTGGTGTAGTATTCCATCCTGTGGATATGTCATCATTTATTTAACAAGTCTCCAGCTGCTGGACATACAGATTTGTTATTTGCTATTGCCAACATGGGGCAATATGCCCTCACATGTAAGTGTGCTGTAGAACAATCCTCTACAAGAGCGGGCCCTGGATCTAGGGTGCATACATAATGCTTGCAGGGCTAGCCCCTGACAAATTGTCTGAGGTGTTCTCTGATGCCATGGCCCCCAGGTCTCCCCACTCACTTGTGACATCCTCCTTCCCTGGAGGCCCAGGTGGACACAGATGACCCAGTGCACGGGATATGAATCTCCTCTTCCTCCAGGACTTTGAGGGGAGGTGTCTGAACCCTCTGGACATGCCTGACCTTCCTGGTTGTTAAGTTCGTGTTGATAGGAGGCTGGTTTCCTGAAGATCAAGAACTCAGTTGTAAACTGAGAAGCAATAGCATTGGTTGCAGACTTCTCTCCATTGTGTGGCTTCCTTGAAGCTCCAGGTGTGGACCGGCTGCCAAACCTGGGCTTCTCCCACCCTCAGGTGTGTGTGTGTGAGTGTGTGTGTGTGTGTGTGTGTGTGTGTGTGTATGTGTGTGTCCCTGGAACCTACTCAGGCCCCAAGCTGAGTATACCCACCCCATGGCTAATCCACCAGTGGGAAAAGAGAAACCAGGTTGTCTCTTTCTTGCTGAAGCAGTTCTTTGCCCTAGGGCTGGGCTGGGTGGAAGGTCTTGAGGCAGAGGGGCAGGAGCCTCTGAAGAAATTCACAGGAGTTTAGGTCATTCAGAGCCCTTACCCCTTCTCCATCGCCTGGCTCCTCATTCTGCCTCTCCCCTGGTTCACAGTCACCACGAAGATTGGCAGTTTTGCTGGCATTGATTACAGTTTAATGGAGGCCCCTCAGGCAACAGCCCAAATGCTGGATGTGATGTTGAAGGTGAGGGTTCTGGAGCAGGGGCTTGGGTGGGTCCAGCCCCAGTTGTGGCATTTCCTCAGGGTTAGCCCTTTCTTGGGTTTTCCTGTTCCCCCTAGCTTCAGATCTGTGCACATCTCCCCTGTGGTTCCAGCTGTGTCCAGAGCAGGGCAATACGGAGGGGTGGGGAGTGTTCCCAGAGCCAGGGTCCTCTCCCAAGTGTCTTGCAACTCTTAGGCCTTGAAACTTCCCCTCCCTTCCTTCACGATACCCACCATGAAGGTGACATCAATCACAGCTGGCCCTAGGTAGTGCGGAGGGGCTGGCCAGTAGGTCTTGTGGGTTAATATACCAAAGCTTGGGAGTCTTTTATTAAGGGATTCTGGATATGCAACACTTGGCTCAAAGGAAAATGTCTTGGTAGAGTTTCAGGCAGTGTCTCTAGCCAGTGCCCCCTCATCAGACTAAATGGGCAACTACCTAGCTCGGATGTCCAGCTCTGGGATCGACTTTGAAAGGTCAAATGCACATGATTTTCTCTCTTCAGGCTGAAATTTTTAACCGTGATCACCGCTCTCCAGTTGACTTCCTTGCTCCTGTCATGAGCCTTCCTGAGGAACACAATCGAATGGTGTACTTTGCTATCTCTGATTACGTCTTCAACACAGCCAGCCTAGTATATCACAAGGCAGGGTACCTGAATTTCAACATCACAGATGACATGGTGAGGATGGTGACAGAATAATGCTTACAGATGACAATGTAACCTGGATCCCCTTCCTTATTTCCTTTGCACCCCATTTACATCAGTGACATAGTACATTATGACTAAGAAAAAAGATCAAGGCTAGGAAAAATGTAAGTTAGCACAATTTCCATTTTCACTTTGGCTGCCAGGAAGCTCCAAGTCAAAGTTTTTTCTCCCTTATTACAATTGTGGAAGACTTTTTAGCTTGCTGGTCTGTGTTTTATTCCCCCCCACCCACCCACCCAAGTCTAGACCTGTTATTCTAATTCATATTTTCTCTCATCCTGACGGTTTGTGGAGGTTTTGTGGGGTTTTTTAATTAGTGAATGAGGCAGGATAATAGAGACACTGACAAATGCATAAAGTTATATAGAATATGAAATAAAGACCAAGTTAAAGGTAAAGCACAATTATGAAGGCATTGGACCCATAAATCAATTTTTTCTTTTCAACTTACAAATTTGTCTGGGAGCTTCCTTATACTCAAAATGGAAAAGGTACATAGTTTAGTGATTTAAGGTAAAAAGGAGAGACAAAGTCTTCCTAGCGCTTACCTCTAAAACAACTCTCTCAAATTTGTATAAGAGATACTAAATGTTATAATGGGTCACACCTTTACTCTTTCTCATCTCTTTAATATTTCTGAGTTTCAAATGGTTACTTCCTAAAAGCTAAGGCCTTGTGAACTATATCAGGATGGTGGGGGAAACAGGGCATAGCCCAATTTGGATGATCCAGCATCACCTGGTAATAAATTTGGGGACATCTGGTGGATGGGTGGAGTGACTTTTTGTCCTTGGGATGATTTCTCACACATGCTCAGGCCTTTTCCTTCTATCATCATGTTGGGTTCACCCATCCCACCTGTGGTATAGTTCTTTCTTTTATTGGATGAGATCATATAACTATGTTATAGTGAGCACTCACTATATGCTAGGCCTTGTGTTAAATGCTTTGTACCCACCATCTCATGTAACCCTTACAATGACCTGATAGGTGCTGACTATATTATCCCCATTTTATAGGTGAGGAAGTTGAGACTCAGAGAAGTAGAGGGACTGTCCTGAGACTACACAGTGACAAAACTAGGAGCCAAACCTAGGTCTTTGTGACTGCAAATCTCACCCTGATTGGACTCTCTGAGTGGGTCCTGCATGTCACCTGTACCCCAAGGAGAGCAGACAGGACCCAGGGACTCATGTATTCATGGTGAATGCAGGACTGGCATCTCGTCACTGCCATGGTAATCCCGGGCAGTTGAGAAGTTACAGTCCTGAACATCCCACCTCCCCCTCTTTAGACCTTCACCTCCTGCAGGAGCACCCTAAAGCTTCTTTGTGTCTCTTTGCTGCAGGTTCCACCCACATCTAACATCCGACTGACTACCAAGTCCTTCCGTGTCTTCGCGCCCCGGGTAAGGCTTCCCTCAGCCCTTGGTGGGTGCAGGCTGAGCCTTCAGGGGTTTCCCTTAAAAACCTGTGCACTACTCTCAGCTTGACCAACAGTCTGGCAGCGAGGGCCCCCATTGAAGGCTGGGATACTGCAGCCTTCGGGGCTTACTGCCCTTCAAAGCCCAGATAACACAGGCCTGGGCCCAGAGTCTTGTGGGACCATAGGTTGCCCAGTCTCTTATTAGCGATATCTGAGAATCCCAAGGAATGCCAACACGTCCCACAAAATGTGACCTAACCAATAACGTCAATTAGAGAGGGCATAGTAGGCACCAGGCACTGTTCTTTTAATAAATTAAAAAATTATTTTTGACGGGATAATAAATTCTTATGGTTCAACATTCAAATAACATAAAAATCTACAGAATGGAAAATCTCCTATCTACTCCTGTCCCTTAACTACCCAGCTCCCATCCAGAGTCTACCAATATTATCAGAGTATATACATCCTCCTGGTGACGCTCTATATATATACAAATAAATTTGTTTATCTTTCTTGCATTTTTTACACGATGGAAGGCATAGTAGACACCCCATTTTGTACCTTATGTTTTTCCCTTTCTGTACTGGGAGATCAATCCATTTAGGCAGATAAAGATCTTCTTCACTCGTTTTCATGAGTATGCAGTCTGCCATTTATGGGTTGACCAGTACTTGTTTAACCAGTCTCCCTTGGAAGGACATTCTTTTGCTGCATCCGCGTTGCAGTGAATAACCTCGCAGCTCTGTCATGTGCCGCATCTCATTTAATCCCACAGAAATTCACCTGTCCTCTCCCCCTACCTCCTGAGTCCCGCCCAAAACACAGATCAGATAGGCTATAGTGTTTAACCTGCCTTTCAGAAGGCTTCATGATGGCTGGGAGAAATTATAACGGTGGGAAAATGTTTAAACTTTAAGCTCTGCAATGCCTGGGCTATGTTCTTCTCTAAGGCTCCCCCTACAGGCACTTTTTCTCCCTAGAGCCCACAACAGCCCAACCTGCCGCCATGTTGTCCGGCTAGCTTTGAAGTGCCCTTGCCCACATCCTGGCTCCCACATCTCTTTTGCCCCAGGAAGAGGAGGAAACTCTCCCTATCCCTTTCCTGCTTGCATCATCATCAACCTGGCAGAGAAGCAACTCAGCCCACCTTCTAAATAAAGCAGTTTGCCTCCTCAACTTTCTAAACATTTCTTTTTACAATAGGATGTAGATTTTATATTTGCATAACCAAAAGGCCCATGGGACTGTTGTTCTTCCACCAACTTCCCCCACAAAAGGAACAGCCTTGCCCCAAATTAAATTCTGTACCTACCTCAAGTTAAACAGAAAATTGTGTGCACTTTTGAAATGGAGGAACATAGTTGCGTCGTATTTCAAAATCATTGGTGCCTGGTCTCTATATATGCAGTTAGCTGATTGTGATGAGGGTGTGAAGAAACAATACCTCTCACCCATTGCCCAGGGAGGGGTGGGTAGTGAAAAAATTGCTCCGACCTATCTGGAGGATAATTTGGCAATTCCTTATCAAAAAGCTTTAAAAATATTCCTGCCCTTTGATTCAGCAATTCCGCTTCCAGGAATGTATCCCCTTCCCCCCCAAATAATAGTCAAAGTGCACAGGCAATGATCATTATAATGAGAAAACCTTGGAAACAACTTGATATCCAGCAGAGTTAGATCAATGACAGTACTTATGCACAATGGAATACAATGCAGTCATGAAATAGATAATACAGACTCTATATGTCTGACATGGAAAGATATCCAGTTATACCTTTAAGAGAAAAAAGCACAGAACATTTTGTGGAAATATGATCAACCAAAAAGCATTCTCAGCTTTATCTGATTCTCTCCAGGCTCTCTCAGAAAACTTGCATATTTCCTCCTCTTGACATAATCTCCTCATTCTGTCCCCAGTTAGCCAGACAGTACCCCAACATGAACTTGGAGCTCCAGGGAACAGTGGTCTCTGCCCCATTCCTGAACTTCAGCCCTGGGAATCTGTCCTTGGCCCCAGAGCTGGAGATTGAGGCTTTTGTGCTCCTGCCCAGCTCCACCAGGGAGCCGGTCTTCCGGCTGGGTGTGGTAAGGTTCAAAGCCATTGCCAATGCTGTTCCATTTTCCTGTGTGTTTTTCCCCCAACTCACCACCTGGCTGACTCTTTAAGATCTCAACCTAACTATCACTTCTTCAGAGAGGCCTATCTTGATTGTTCTTACCCTTGATCTACCTTAAGCCCCTTGTCATTTTTCTCTTGTAGCACCCTATTATTTTTTTCATTGCATTTATTATAAAGATACTTATGTAGCTGTTTTGGGGTTTATTTGTTTAATGTATGTATCTCCCACTGAGTCTAGACTACTGTGGGGAGGAAGGTATAGGGCAGCAATCGGCAAACTTTTGAGACGGAGAGCCGCCAGGGGTCAGCAAACTGCGGCTCGCGAGCCGCATGCAGCTCTTTGGGTACGAACATGTGGCTCTGAAGTAAAATTGAAAATGAAAATAAAACTATCATAGTTTCATTTATAATATTACCTTAAATTTTCCTCATTTGCAAAAAATATATTTATGGCTCTCGAATAATTTTTAAATTGTTGTGAGGGACAGGATTGGCTCTTCCAGGGGTTAGCAAACTTTTGAGATGGAATGCACCCAAAGAGCCACATGTGGCTCGGGAACCGCAGTTCGCTGACCCCTGTATAGGGGATCTTTAACCTGTTCTGCTCTGTATCTATTTCTGACCCCCAAAGACTACATATCCCAAGCTCCCTGCACTCTGACTTCCAGCTAGGTCAGCCAATGGAAGGCGCTGTCAGAAGATTGGGGGTGGGAGGAAGGAAAAAGCCAGAGTATTTTTCCTTCTCTCTTTCTCTTGAACAGAGACTTGGGCAGTAACTCTCCTCCATGGTGGCTCCCATATTCTCGACTCCTCCCTCTGTTCTTCTGGTCCTGGGGTAAAAGCAGGTTCCTGCTTCTGCTAATCTCTGAGTTGCTTCTCTGACTCTTTTTTTTTGGGGGGAGGGGTGCTTCTCAGCAATTTCCTGTATTAAATTCCCTTTGAGTTAAATATTAAGAGTGGCTTCTCCTTTCCCAATGGATCCTGTCTAATAGAGAGGAGATTCTGAGTCTTTTGGGGCTTCTGCTCACTGAATGGAGAATTTTGCTCTCTTGTTTAAGGTTTGAAACTCAACAAGACAAATTTCTGGAAGGGTAATTGTTCCTAGATGCTATGTCTGCAGTTTGATATTGTTATTGTTATGTAAAGTTCTGTTATCAATATATTTAAAATTAAACATAATCTATTATTATTACTACTGTGGCTGAATCTTGGCCCTGAGTTATCTAGAAATGATCCCTTTAGAGATCTCCAGGGATAGGCACTCTACATCTTCTCTTGGTAGTCTGTTAAAGTTTAATTGCTATCATAATCAACAATTTCAAGTAAAATTGTTCAAATTCATGTTCAAACGTTTATCAAGCACCTCCAATGAGCATCTTGGGAGTCTATAGTCTAGTGGGCAAGTTCCTGCTTTAACTCATAGAGAGCTGTTTGTTTAGAGAAGACAGCTGGTCCTCAGAGTTATCCTTCTTGTACATAACAACCTCCCTTATTCAGACCTGTTTATTTCTACTGGTATTTCCAGGCCAGTAATGTATCCGCCATGTTGACCGTCAACACCAGCAAAATCACTGGGTTCCTGAAGCCAGAAAAGTAAGTCAACCTCCTACCGACATGGGGGCACTCAACTGAGCCTGCTCCGTCCGGCACTGTAGCTGATTCTCTGTAGCTGGTGCTACAGATGTGACGAGATCCTTCTGTCAATGATAGGGGCCCACCATTTGGGGGGGAAACTTAAATTTTAATTGTTGGCCCAATTCTTTTGCCTCACAGACCCTACTTCCACAAACTTCCTTTCCACCTAATACTCATCACTTCCAAATTTCTACAGAATTTACTAATACTGCTTTTTCTTAATCTATGAATTTTAGACATCAGCTATTCTGGCTTCCCGAGGTGACAGATAAAGATTGAGCTCTTTTACACTACCCACCACCCCTCTTCAAGTCTTCCCAATAAGGTTATATCATTAGTTTTGGTTATTCAGCCATCTTTTTCACTCCCACGTCTACCCCACTCTTGGCCTTATGACTTCTCGAGCCAGGGCCTCCTCCTTTCTGGGGACCCCCACATTGCTTAGGTCTCCCATGGGAATAAAGCCCACATCATGAATCTTCTCTGATTCATTGTAGGATACAAGTGGAGCTGAAAGAATCTAAAGTTGGAGTATTCAATGTAAGTTATTATTGTTTTCATTTATGAAATGACTTGGGTATTAAATAATTGAGATTGTTTACAAAGAAATACTATGGCTGTAGTAGAAAACAGAAAAGCAAAGAGCTGCTCTCTGCCCTAGAAAAGTGTAGAAGCAAAGAGCTGCTCTCTGTCCTAGAAAAGTGTAGAAGCCCTCAAGGACATAAAACATAGGGCCAAGCAAAAGTTACATCCCAATGTAAGATAATATATAAGTAAATCTTCTATCAAACAGAATTATTTTAACTGCAAGGAAAAGAAAGCCAACTAAAAATGTCTTAGGCAGACCTAAGGGTCATATGTATAGGGTCATATAGTTAAAAAAACAAAGAAAACTAAGGCTAGAGGTTTCAAGCATAGCTGGATCCAGGTGCTCAAATTAGTCCCTCAAGAATTTCTCTCCATCTCTCTACCTGCTTTCATCTGTGCTGGCTTCATTCTCAGGCAGATTATTACCATTGATAAAAATAAAAAAAAATCCTGTAGCTTCATTTTTTTTTTAAACCTACAACATTACAAAAAAAAAAATCCCTGTTAGCTCTCATTGGATCAACCCTAGTCATGTGCCCATTCTTTAGCCAATCACTGTGGCCAGAAATTCGATAAGGCCTATCGGCCAAGGATAGGTTTCCCGGAACCAGAGTTTGCAATCCCCTCTTCCAGCCCTGACTTAACATTTTTTGTATTACACAAGTAATTCAGGAAAACATTATCACTATAAAAAAAATTAAATACCAAAAATAAGGCTAAGCCTGGGCCAACCGAGTGGCTCAGTTGGTTAAGAGTTGGCTTAAGAGCGCGGGCTCTGAGCAACAGGGCCGCCAGTTCGATTCCCACATGGGCCAGTGATGCTGCACCCGAGCTGAGCTTCGGCTGAGCTGCCAACAGGTGGCAGGATGGCTCAGCTGGTGTAACAACAAGATTGCTTGTTCTATGGTGGGCTCCGCCCACCTGAAACTAAGACTGAACTCAGCACCTTGAGCTGAGCTGCCGCCTGGGTGGCTCAGTGGGTAGAGTGTGCACTCTTAACAACAAGGCTTCTGGTTCGACTCTCACATGGGATGGTAACTACGCCCACCCGCGACTAAGATTGAACACAGCACCTTGAGCTTAGAGGCCACGAGCTGCCAATGGGAAGCCAGATGGCAGCTGGCACCCTCCCCAACGAAGACTGAAGAACAACTTGGCTGGTCCCCTTCCCCAATTCCCCAACACTGTTCCCCTCCCCCAATTCCCCAATAAAATCTTTTAAAAATAATAATAATAAGGCTAAGCCAAACTTTGATATTCTTCCTAGAGAAAAGACAATTGGGCATGTAGTCTGCCAAAATTTTTCTATCTCTTTGCACACATATAAGTGTGTGTCTCAAAATAGTTTTATCTTAGCAAATAGTAGCATGATGTAGGCATCTATCTGAAATTTGCTTTTTTCAAGACTTTTGCCATGTCAGTACCTATAGAATCACCCCACCCCCAGGGTGGCTAGGTGGAGGTTTTTTAGTGGGCAAGATGGCACATGTGGTCACCTCTCCTGTTCTCCACTAGGTGGAGATGTTGGCGGCGCTGCTCAACTACTATATCCTCAACATCCTCTATCCAGAGGTCAATGGTAAGAATCACTGTGAGTTTTTCCAAGTCAAGAGTGGACAGTGCTTTTTGAGGGAAACAGAGGTGGACTTAGAATTGGGAAACAGGCCTCTCCTACGGGCTGTGAGACCTTAGGCAAGTCACTTCTCTCTGAGCTTCAGTGGCCTGTTGTGAGATGGGAGTGTTGCAGTCAACCTCATCTCCCTCCAGGACTGAATGAGGGTTGGGGACTGGGGAAGTTCTTTGGAGCACAGGGAGCTCTTAAGAGAAGGAAGTGGCAAGTGAAAGACTAAAGATCCAGTTAATATCGAGGGCGTAAGGCAGCCCACCTCTGAATTCACATTTCCAAGTCAATTGCCAACTCCCTTGTCAAAAAAATAAAGCTTAAAGACCTAAACCCTGTTTCCATCAGGCTTTACTTCATTTGGCTGCCAATAGAAAGCAAGACAGGGTGGAGGGCAGAGAGCAGGTGCCCACAAGCTTATCATGAGTGTATTCTACCCCATACCTACCACTCCTTTCACATAGCCTTGTGGTTGAGAGCTAAGACTCCTGTGGCAGCCTGCCTGGGTTCAAATCCCAGTTCTGCCACTTTCTAGCTATGTGACCTAGGAAAAATTACATGGCCATTCTCTGCTTCAATTTCCTTGTCTGCAAAATGACAATAATAATCATATTTGCCTCACAGTCTTTGGTGATAATTAACTGAGAATATACTCTGTATAGAGTTTGTAGAGAGGACTTCTTTTTTTAACTTTGTCTATAATTGTTATTTATTAACAAATCTCTCTCAATGTTGTGCTTCGATCTCCAGAGAAGTTGGCAAACGGGTTCCCTCTCCCTCTGCTAAAGCATATTCAGCTCTATGACCCTGTTCTCCAGATCCACAAGGTGAGTGAGTTCAGGGGGCTCTGAGGACTTGGGGAGAGGGATCGGTTAGCTTTCTGGGTTAGGAAGCCATAACTCAGTGGGTGGGAACCAGCCCAGTCCTGCAGCTGGGAAAACCTGGACTGGAGTTGGATGCTCCCAGCATGGCTAGATGCCAGGAAGCCATCCACGTATCCCTCAGAAATAGGACCTCTATTGGAGTAGGAGGTAGTTGACACAAGGTACTGTACCACCTTGCCTTCTAACCCTCACCATGGGTGACGAGCTCATTGTAAAATACCGCAGTTCTAGACATGCCCATCCTAGACAATTCAGATTCTGAAAGCCATTTGTAAGTTTTTAATGTTCTTCCAAATTCTTAAGTAGAAGCACTTTGTTCTAAATATATACATGTTTGGTGTGCTCCCCCTCATAGACCCATTCCCCCCACACACCCACAGTTTGAATTTAGGTATACTTCCTTCAGTCTTTTTGTTTTCTCTAAGCATTTGAAAGAAGTCATTTGTTTTGGATAAGTGCATTGGCTTGTGCACATACCTGTTTTCTTTCTTTTCTTGTTTCTTTTTGTTGCAACCTAGTTCCTCCCCCACCCGGATGTTAAGTATTGTCCCATCCATCAGATGGGCCACAATTTACTTAACTATTTTAATACCAAGGAATATGTCTGACTCTTCACTATTCTCCCCACTATTCTGACCAAGCATTGTATGGACCACCCACGCACTACAGTTCAGGTTGTCTTTCTAGCATAGCATTCGTAAGGTGGGATGATCTCGTTGGCGGGCTTGTGAACATTAAAGTACATGCTGCATTGTGCCTGGTACATCATGGACATACATTAATAAGAGCAGAGTGGTCAGGAACATTGAAACACTGACCAACTATTATATTTGGAAAACTGTCCAAAGGCCTTTCGGGCCCAGGGATACTCAACATCCAACTACTGTTGAGTGTTTACAAGGAGTCAGACAGTTCAAAACAAAGCCTGAGTGACAATTCACACAGCTGGCCTCAGTTTTCTCCTCTGAAAAATGGGGTGTAGCCCAAACCTGACCAGGCTCTTGTGAAGATGAGAGGTCATGTATGAAAGCTTCTAGCTCAGTTTGGCACATGGAAAGTCATTAGAAGATTTATTGTGTGCTATCATATTTATTAGAATTTTGACGTCAATGCTGTCCATTTGCTTGACCCCCAAAGGCATGGGATGGATCACTATGGAAAACCATAGGACTTTGTCTTGAGTTCAGAATTCCCCCCGCCCCCCTGCCCTTTGAGTGATGGAAACTTACAAGAAGGTAGGAGAGGAAACCCCAGAAGCTCACAATTTTGTATTTTTTGCCAAGGAAAGAGAATATAGGTGACACAAAGGACATTTATGAGGCCTGCCTGAAAGGAGCAGCTTGGGAAATGACAGATAAATCGCCACCTTAGAGAAGGTAGCTGGCAAAAGCTGTTGCTTTATGGAGACCTTGGGGACAGAGGCACACTTGCAATTTATGCACTGACCTGGTTTCTGGCAGAGTTTGTGTTTCCCCAAATGTGAGCCTCCCTTTAAATCAGAGATGCATCTTTTTGGAGTAGGGGATGTTTTACCATCTTGTCCTGTCTTGTCTCTCCTAGGATTTCCTGTTCTTGGGTGCCAACATCCAGTACATGAGAGTTTGAGGGCAAGGAGAAAGACAGGTCTTGGATAACACAGCTGGATCAGCAAGTTGGATTTCCAGATGTGCAGGATATTCCTGGAGATTCTGGGAGGAAGAAGACTTCTGTTCTCCACTCTGGGGACAAGGTCTGCTTGGCCTCTGTCCCCACACTCCTCCACTCTGGGAGGTGCATCCACACCTTCTCTGACTCTGAACTTTACTTTCTCCACCAAAACAGACCATCCTCCCCACTGGCCTGTATGATCTTCAAGGGCAGGCGCCATCTTTTTTATTCACCACCTGATCCCTGTGCCTAGCAGAGTGCTGGCACATAATAGGTCCTCAATAAATATTTACTGACTGGTTCAATGAAGGAACCACCTGGTACTCTAGCCAAACCTCCCTACCTCCCACCTACTTTGGTCTATAGGATCTTCGGATGGTCAGCTCCATCTGTGGTCTCCATGGGTCAACCCCGACCACAGTCCCCTTTATCATCAGCCACTGTCATAGGGACCTCCGTGAGAGAATGAGGAATTCTGCTCCCCAGTTAGCCCTGACCTGGCACTGGTGCCTGCCCTCTAAGGTGCTTGCCCATCTCAGTTCACAGGCAGTTCATGGGCTCACTTCATCAGTATGTGCCCCCTCCCTCACTTCTTGCCAGGGGCAGACTCCAGAGCCAGTGAGTTTCCCAAAGCAAAAACTCAACCTCGAGCCGGCCGAGTGGCGCGATGGTTAAGAACTGGCTNGTCCTTCCTCTCTAGCACTATAATGTGTCCCAGGCTCAGGTTTTACTTTCCCTCCCCAAAATCTGGAATTAAACATTTCTCCCAGGAACTTAAGCTTTCGTTGTTGTTTTCAGTAGGAACACTGTCTTTAGAAACCATGGGCAGTAGATATCCAGATGTGCTCACTGCAACTGGGATGTCATTGCCTTCTGAGAGGACAGAACTGGAAAATACACATCAGTAGACTAACACATGTATACACACATCCGTATTTATCTCTATGTTTATCCATCTGTCAATCTATGAAAAACCATGGGTTTACACAAATTTCCAATCTAATCCAACACCACACAGGGTTCCTTCTGACTCTTATTTCTAATTTCTTTTTTTCTGACAGTGAGAAACCTGGCCCTCGTTATCCACAACATATTTACTTGTTTTGTTCAATACATGTTCAAATCAGTATATATTTTATTTACTAGAGTGCAATATTTGTATGCAATTCTTTTTGTAGCCCTATATTATTCAGTCAAAATGCTATTTTCCAAAATTACTTAGGTTAGTTCTTCTATTCCCTATATTCTTCAGTGGGGTTATCTTATTCACTTGGAACACAGGTTCATTTGCTATCATTTGCATGCCATTTTGGGGTTGCTCCCACATATCCTGGCTGGTTTGGGTTATTTATGTGTTTCTTGGGTATGTGAAACATTACCATGGTTCTAAGAGTTAGGGCTATACAAAAAAGGTGTTCTCACCGGCACTTGGTATTGTCAGTATCCCTAATTCTAGTCATCCTAATAGGTGTGTAATAACATCTCACTGTGGCTTTAATTTGCGTTTTCCTAACAGCTAATGTTGAACATCTTTTCATGTGCTGATTTGTCATCTTTATATTTTCTTTGGTGAAGTCTCTGTTCAAGTCTTTATACATTTTCTAATTGGATTGTTATCTTAATGTTAAGTTTAGAAAGTTCTTGATATATTCTAGAAACAAATCTTTTGTCAGATATGTGATTTGCATGAATTTTTTCCCAGATGGTGGTTTGTCTTTTTTATTTTTTAAACAGGCCTTTCACAGGTCAAAAGTTTTAAACTTTGATAAAGTGCACTTTATTATTTTTATTTGATGGCTTGTGCTTCTGGTATCACGTCTAAGAACTCTTCACCAAGCCTTTAGTCGTGAAGACTTTCTCCTATATTTTCTTCTCAAAGTTTTGTAGTTTTGCGTTTTACATTTAGATCTATGGTTCCTTTTGAGTTCATTTTTGGATATAATGTACAGTTTGGATTGAGGTTTATTATTTTTGCCTTTGTAAGTCCAATTGTGTCAACACTACTTGTTGAAAGGATTATCGTTGAGTTGCTTTTGCACCTTCATCAAGAATCTGTTGGTCATCCTTGTGTGGGTCTATTTCTGGACTTTACGGTATTTTGTTCCCTTGATTTAATACGTGTCTATCCCTATTCCAACACCACCATTTCATTAGCTACATAATAAGTAATAAAATCAGGTAGTGTGATCCCTCTAACTTTATTCTTCATTTTCAAGTGGTTTCACTATTCTAGCTCCTTTGCTTTTACGTATACATTTTGGAATCAACTTGTATGTATCTACAAAAATTCCTGCTGGAACTTTGATAAGAACTGTGCTAAACCAATAAATAAATTTGGGGAGAAATGTCATCTTTGTTATGTTGAATCATCCAAGCTATGAACACATTTTGTCTCTCCATGTATATCAAGGTCTTCAATTTCATAAATTCATAGTTTTCATCACATAGATCCTGTATATGTTTTTTAGATTTATACCCAAGTATTGCATTTTTAGAGCTATAGTAAATGATATTGTGTTTTTAATTTCAGTTTCCAAGTGTTCATTGGTAATATATAGAAATACGGCTGACATGACTGATTTCTGTGTGTTAACCACCCCACCATTTGGCTATATAGTTTGTTGCTCTTTTAACTATATTACTGGCTTCTATTTCTTCGTCTTTCAAAGAGAAATTCTGCTTCAACATTCATAGATAAAATAGTCTGTGTATTTCATTTTGCTGCTGTGTCAGATTTTGTTGTTTGTCTTAGTCAGCTCAGGCTTCTATAACNCTCATGGCAGCCCAGCTCCAGGTTGAGCTGTTGTTCAGCATCTTAGCTGTAGAGGGCAGCGTCACTGGCCCTCATATGTGGGATCCGAACCGGGGTTCTCTGGCGTCCCAAGCCAGTTCTTAACCATCGCGCCACTCGGCCGGCCCAGGTAGGCTGTTTTTTAAAGGATGCTCTCACCACTACCATCTCACCTTGGGTGGAGGGGTAGGCCCAGAGTCATAATCTGCATCCCCCAGACCTGACCAAGCCCAGCTTGCTTTCAGTTCCACCCTTCTACACACACACACACACACACACACACACACACACACACACACACTCCACCACTTCTACTCACCCCCGTGAGCAGTCTAAGACAACCCCTCCCCCACCACCCTGTGAACAGCCAGCATACTCCCCAAGACATCAAGTTGAACAATTGTTTTCCCTAAATACAAGCACTCCTGGAATTAACAGAAAAAACAAAAACAAACAAACAAAAAACTTAAAGGGCACTACTTAAACTCTCTATTTTTAACATATGTTGTGCACTTTTAAACATCTAGAAAGCCTAGACATTTCAAATAAGGATTTAACTTTGGCCACTATACACATAGTAGCATTGAATAAACTGCACACAAAGGCTGTTGCCACGCCGCCTGTCACCCCGCGCTTAACCCTAAACTGACCTTTTTGAGGACACTGCTCATACACCTTGTGTCTCCCTGTTTGGCTCCAAAGGATGGCTGGTTAGTCAATAACGGGTAAGATTCCTCATGGGAGGAACAACGTAAGACAGGCATGGTTGGTTGGGGGCCATCAGGAGAAATTTCGGGGCTGATGGAGGTGGGCATGAGCCTTCACTTGCCCCCCAAAAAGACTGGAGGTTTTCTACCTCTATGGCTACATTCCTTCCCTCAACCTGCTTGGGAAGTGACCTGATAGTGTGATAGTATCTGTCCTCAGCTCAATAATCTTCTCTTCCTGGGGTCGTTTGCATATAGGGTGTGTGAAGACAGAGCATCTGTCTTATCGCTGCAGGCTGACTCTTGGTAATAGCAGCTTGCAGGCATGGGTAATCTGGCTTGAGCAAGTTCTCAGGAATGAGACTCACAGACTGTGGAGAGAACAATGCTACTTCCGGGTAGGTGGAGAAATAAAAGCGGTGTGTCTGCCCGATTCGGGGCTCTTAGTCTTCTGAGGCTGGAGACCCTTGGCCCCACACTCATTTAACTCTTGATGGCTGTTTCTTTTATTTCTTAACCCTTCACCACCCCCTCTCGTTCTCCCACTGCTCGTGGTGTGAGGGACGCGACAAAAGGCTATAATCTGAAAGTGTCTTCTAAATAGGAAGGAACGTTCTGGCCTGGAACCCTTCCCCTTCTCATCTCTGTCAACCCAGCGGACAGGAATAATAAGCATCTGTAATGCCTAGAGGGGATTTTAATCATTTCACTTCCTCACGTATGATGTCAGTTGTGGGCTTTTCACATATGGGCTTTATTATGCTGAGTTAGTTTCCTCCTTTTCCTAGTTTGTTGAGTATTTGTATCATGAAAGGTGTTGAATTTTGTCAAACGCTTTTTCTGTATCTATTGAGGTGATCATGTGATTTTTATCCTTCATTCTGTTAACGTAATGTATGGTTTGTGTATGTTGAGCCATCTTTGCATCCCACGGACACATCCTACTTGGTCATGGTGTATGATCATTTCAGTGTGCTATTGAGCTTGATTTGCTGGTATTTTGTTGGGGAGTTTTGCATCTATCGCCATCAGAAGTATTGACCTGTAGTTTTCTTTTCTTATACTGTCTGTCTGGCTTTGGCATCAGGGTAACATTGACTTCATCAAATGAGTTTGGATATATTCCCTCCTCTTCAATATTTTAGAAGAGTTTGAGAAGGATTGGCCTTAATTCTTCTTTAAATGTTTGGTAGAATTCTCAGTGAAGCCATCTGGTACTGGGCTTTTCTTTGTTGGGAGATTTTTGATTACTAATTCAATCTCCTTACTAGTTATCGGTCTGTTCAAATATTCTTTCTCTTCACAATTCAATCTTGCTTGGTTGTATGTTCCTAGGAAACTATCCATTTCTTCTAGCTTATCCAATTTGTTGGCATATAATTGTTCCTAGTAGTCTCTTATAATCCTTTTTATTTCTGTCATCAGTTGTAATGTCTCTGCTTTCGTTTCTTATTTTATTTGAGACTTCTCTCTATTTTCTTAGCCTAGCTAAAGGTTTGTCAATTTTGTTGATCTTTAAAAAAAAAACAAAAAAACTCAATTTCATCGACTTGCCCTGCTCAGTTAACCCTTCATTTTCTCCAGTAAGAAAATATGCACCTATCTAGACCATAAATAATCTCTCCTGGATCAGAATTCCAGAAGCCTGTTTTCAGCTCTACAGTTCATTTGGCAACTGATTTTATGGTACTGTGAACCGCTATTTAAATATTTTGCTGTCTAACTTCTCCTGAGTTTTATGTCCAACCTCCCAAGTAGATGTTAATTTCCTTGAGGGCAGGAAACAGATATTATGTGTCTTTGTATCACCC